ACCTGCACTTGAAGCAAAGGCAGAAAACAAGGCTTCAGGAATTGATGGAATAGAAACTGATGAAGCACAGGAGGCATTCACTCATCTATGCCAAGAAATTTGATAGACAGCTACCTAGTCAACCGATTGGAAAAAATCCTCATTTGTGGCCATTCCACAGAGAAGTGAATCAACAGAATACAGAAGCCATTGAACAATATCATTAATATTTCATGCAAGTAAATTTTTCCTGAAGACAATTCAAAAACGGCTGCAGCAGTACACTGACAAAGATTTTTTTCTGCCAGGAATTCAAGGCAGGTTCAGAAGAGGGACATTATTGCTGACATCAGATGGATCTTGACTGAAGCAGAGAATACCACAAAGATGCTTACTTGTGCTTTATTGACTATGCAAAGTCATTTGACTGTGCATTTCATAACCAACTATGGATAGCATAGTGAGGAATGGATATTTCAGAACACTTCCTTGTACTCACAAGGAACTGTACATAGACCAAGAGGTGGCTATTCAAATAGAACAAGGGAATTCTGAGTGGTTTAAAATTAGGAAAGGTGAGTACTAGAATTGTATCATTCCATCATACTTTTCAGTCTGTATGCTGAGTAAATAATCTGAGAATCTGGATGGAGAAGAACGTGGCATCAGGATTAGAGGAAGAATTATGAACAGCCTGCAATATGCCGATGATACAACCTTGCTTGCTAGAAACAAAGAGGACTTGAAATACTTACTGATGAAGATCAAAAATGACAGCTTTCAGTATGGATTGCACCTCAATGTAAACAAAAATCCTCACCACTAGACCAGTAAATAACATCATGAAAAATGGAGAAAAGAGTCAAGTTGTCAAAGGTTTCATTTGGCTTGGATTCACAATCAACACTCATGGAAATAGCAGTCAAGAAATGAAAGGATGTATTTATTAGGCAAATCTGCTGCATAAGATCTCTTTCAAGTGTTAAAGAACAAAGATGTCAGTTTGAGGACTAAGGTGAGCCTGACCCAATCTGTGGTGTTTTCAATCACCTCATATTCATGTGAAAGTTGGGCAATGACTAAATAAGACCACAGAAGAATCTATGCATTTGAATTATGGTGGTAGCAAAGAATATTGAAATTACTATGGACTGCCAGGAGACCTGTTATAGCACTGTGGGTTAATGCACTGCACTGTAAAGTCGTTTGAACCACAAGGTCAGTGGTTCAAGCTCACCAGCCACTCCTGGGAAACTCTATACAGGGTCGCTATGGGTCAGAACTGACTCAAAGGCACTTAACAACAACATGGACTGCCAGAAGAACAGACAAGTCTGTCTTGGAGGAAGTACAACCAGAATTTTCCTTAGAAGTAAGAATGAAACTACTTGATAGGATTTTCTTGACTTGACTTGTTATGAAAACAGATTGCTAAATCATTCTCCTATAGAGCCACTAGGTGGGTTTGAAGGACCAGTCTTGCAGTTAGCAGCCAAGCACTTGGCTATTGTGCCACTAGGGCTCCCTGCAAGGTTTTAGAGCTGATTTTTCAGGAACCAAAGACAAAGACCAAATTCATTGTGTAAAGTTAATTTTCGGTCCCATAGCCTGCCACAGGTGTGACGAGGCAAGAGCAATGGCTTCTTGGCTTCGTTATTGTTTTGTTTTTTTGGTGACTTTCCAGTTTTTTGCTCTAGGAGGCAAGGTAGTGTAGTAGTCAGGAGACTGGATTTTGGAGTCACACAGGCCTGGCTTGGCATCCCAATTCTACTTGAGCAGACCTCTGAAAAATGGAATGATGGTAGTACCTCATGCCTATAGAGCTGCTTGAAAATTAAATGAGATAATCCCTAAAGCACTTGGCCTTGTATCTGGCACACAGCAAGCTCTCCATAAAAGGTAGCCAACAGGATTATGTGTTATGACTGCAGAAATTTGGCTTCTTTTTTTCTAAGTAAACAGGCTAGAATGTTCCCATCTAAGTGTTTATCTCTTCAAAGTACGTACTCACTTTTGGAGGCTATTGTGGAAATCTTTCTGAGGGCTTTCTAAGTTTCCAATAGTTGTTTGAAGGTCCTCTGTGGTGGTGATCCACATGCATTTGGCATGTGTGTCTTGTGACCAATGATTTTGCTTATTATTGTTAGCTGCCCTTAAGTTCGTCCTCAACTCTACCCATGCACAATGGGATGCAACACTGCTCAGTCCTGCACCATCAGATGCTGTGATTCATAGAGTCTTTTACTAGTTGAATTTTGGAAGTAGATTGCTAAATCTTTCTTCCTAATCTGTCTTCATTTGGAAGCTCCTTTGAAACCTGCTCAGCACCATAGCAACACACAAGCCTTCTCTGACAGATAGCTTAGTGGCTACACATGTGGTTCATTGGCCGGGAATAGCATCAGGTCTCCACATGGGAGGAAGAATTCTACCATGAGCCACCAAAGCCTCACTCACTTGGTGATCTATGTCTTGATTGCGAGCTTCTTTTAGAAAACAATAGTCTTACTCATACTCATGACAATAATAATTCATGCTCACACAGACCTTCTCAGTTGGCAAAGCATCTGTTGCTTTCCATATCCTTACCTCAATCCTACACCTCTCAATAAATGAAAAAAACTGAGGCTCAGAAGGATTAAGGAAACCATTTTTAGTTACGGCTTTCCACCATAACAATTCGGTACATTTTGCTGTTAAGTGGCATCAAGAGGATTCTGACTCATAGCAACCCTTTATAGGGTTTCCAAGGTGTGACTGGCGGGTTTGAACCACCGACCTTGCAGCTAACAGTCCAGTGCTTATCATACAGTGCCATGCCTCTGTACATTGTTATTGTTACACACCGCTGAGTTGGTTCTGATTTATAGCGACCCTGTACAGGGTTTCTGAGGAGCAGCTTATGGGTTGGAACAGCAGACCTTGTGGTTCGCAGTCCAGTGCTGATCCTACAGTGCCGCACCAGGAGTCCTTCCCTGTATATGTTGTTGTTGTTAAGTACCGTGGAGTTGGTTCCAACTCATAGTGACCCGGCACAGGGTTTCCGAGGCTGTGAATCTTTATGGGAGCAGAAAGCCTCATCTTTCTCTCGCGGAAAGGCTGGTAGTTTCGAATTCGTAAGTGGCTCGATTCGTAACCGCTACGCTACCAGAGCTCCTCCCCCTATATATAACAGGAACTAAAAAAATCATGGAATGCAATTTTTAAAAATTCCCTTTAGCCCAGTGTGGCTGGAGCATGGGATTGGGGATGAAAGCAGAAGAGGTGAGGGGTAGGTAGCAATGAGAGGGTGGGAAGTTGAGACCAGACTGGAAGGACCCCCAAACGCAGCAGCAAGGAATGAGGGTAGACTTGCTTGGTGGTGGTGTGCTGTGGAGTCGGTTCCGACTCATAGTGACCCTGTGTAGGGTTTCCAAAGCTGTAAATCTTTACGGGAGCAGAAAGCCTCATCGTTCTCCCATGGAACGGCTGGTAGTTTCGAACTGCTGACCTTGAAGTTAGCAGCGCTACTCGTAACCAGAGCTCCTTGGTGATAGCCAAAAGCCAAGGGGAAGTAGGGGAATGGTGGAGCCGTGAACGATCATTTCAGTTCTAAATAAGCTGTGGTTACAAAATTGCTTCTGTAGAAGGTGTAATGCGGTTTGTGAACTGACTTGAGGCTCAATATAGTTTCTTAGAAAAATTCTTATGTCTGTATTTAACCGTATGAATCCAGTCTCCCTCATCAAAATGGGAACTCACCAAAGTTGGAATTGAATCACTTATCAAGTAAGAATCTGTTTGCCAGCACTGTATTACGGATAGGGGTATAGAAATGCACAAGCCCTATTGTGAGTATGATGCACAAAAATCCAATGATTATATAAGTAAATATGTGAAACATGCTGTAAAGAAGAAGTATATGGTGCTGAGTGCAAATGACTAGAGGACCTGATCTAGTTGGAGGAGTGGGGAGGTGGTTCACTGAAGGCTTCACAGAGTAAGTGTTATTTAAGGTGAAACTTGAAAGATAATAGCATTTAGCCTGGGAGAATGAATCTTTCAGGTGGAAGGAATAGACGATGCAAATGTCCTGAGGTAGAAAATCTTGGATTGTTGGAGGGGCACAGAGGATGCCAGAACTCAATAAGGCAACCTCCCTTCTTCCTTTTCTTCCCTGGTGCCAGAAAGATCCCCAAGTACCAAGCTTTTTGAAGCAGAGGGGGAGAGTTTTTGCCCCACCCAGCCACAGATGGTGCAGAGAAAAATGGCAGAAAGGATAAACTTGTAAGCTCTGGGTTTGTTCTTTTTGGTAAAAGGGAAGCCTTGCACATGTAGGCATGATTGAAGCCAGAGGGTGATAGGAATGAGAGGTCCTGTGAGCCTCTCACAGACCCAAGAGCACTGTCCTAGGGCCTAAAGCTTGAGGGCCCCAATATTGTCCCCACCCTTTAACCCTTGCGTCCTTTATTCACCTAACCAGCATTTAATGAGCCTCCCTTGGGACCTTCACCCTTTCCTGGGTGCAGGGATCAATCAGGCCTGGTCCCTCCAAGGACTATAGTCTTGGAAACGTAGACAGGGGGCAGTCTACCCTGTCCTACACGGTCTCTATGAATCAGACATGATTTGAGGGCACACAACAATTGAGTACTGATACTGAGCTACATTCTTTATGTGCATCCTTTTATTTATTCTTCAACAACCTTTTCAGGGAGGGGTTGAGATTATCTTTATTTTACAGGTGAAGAAAACGAAGTTGAGAGGGTTAGCGACTTGCTCAAGGTCACTCTGCTTATTAGCGCAGCCACAAGAGGAGGGATTCAAATTTAGATCCTTCTGACTCAAAGCTGCAAAGAGGGGAGAAGGTGAGTCCAGGCTGGAGTGGGGGGTGGGTGGTGGGAAAGCGCATTCAGCCTCCAGGGAAAGAGGCCGGAGGCCTCCCCGGCCCAGCTCCAAGTGAGTGGTGCAGCGCCCACCCCCGGTAACCGGCGCAGATTGGCGACCGCCTCCGGGCCACGTGGTGCGCGCTGCAGGCGCGTCCCAAGAGCCCGAAGCGGTTCCTGGCTCAGAGCGCTCCGGGCGAGCAGAGCCGGCGGGCGCCGGTGACAGGGCTGCTGCGGGCCGCCGGGAAGCTGGGAGAGACGCGGAGCAAGCTGGGCGGCCGGAGTTCTACAGCCGGCGTCGTCGGGGGCGCGGCTTAAACGCTTGGCGCGCCCCTTGAGCCGAGTCCCTGCGCCCAGGGCGCACGGTGGGGAGGGTCGCGGCGCCGGCCGCCGCGCCGCCATGGAGCCGGTCCCCACTGCAGACGCTGAGCTGCAGCCTCAGCTCTTCGACAACGGGTCGAACACCTTCCCCAGCGCCTTCCCAAGCGCGGGCGCTAATGCGTCGGGGCCGCCGGGCGCACGGAGCGCCTCGTCGCTCGCCCTGGCCATCGCCATCACCACGCTCTACTCCGCTGTGTGCGCAGTGGGGCTGCTGGGCAACGTGCTCGTCATGTTCGGCATTGTCCGGTGAGTCCATTTCATCTGCTTCGGGCTGGCGACCCCGGATTGGGCATCTGGGGGAGGATGGGGACCGCAGATTTGAGACTCTGACCCGGCACTCCTGGGGGTCTCTGCACTTCCTTAAGGGGACACCTGGGGCGGGAAGGCCACCGTCCCTGAGAGGGGGACGCTGAAGTGTGTGTGAGTTTAACTAAATAATGTTTGATCATCTGTTGTCATCTCGTTTCTGCAGCAGGTTGTGTAGGACAGTTTGGCGGCAGCTTGGGTGTCACTCACAGTTTTGAGTGGGTGATTCTGTGTTTGTGACAACTCCGACGTATTGTACGTCTAGACCTCTGAAACCTCCCAGAGGTGGGTGGAGATGTCTCAGGCGCCTGGGCCTCTGGGTAGACAGATGGGTGTGAGCGTTGTGCTGGTAGGGAGGACAGGGGAGTGTTTGTGGGGGAACGTACCAAGTCACATCTCTTGGAGTCCCCATGTTGTTGTTTTTGTCACAAACTGTGAATTTGTGACTCTTTGTGTATGAGACTGCAACAATATGATTGTGTTATTTCTTGCCAAACCCCTGATGGCCCAGAGAGGAGGGGGCCATCCAGAGTGCCCTTGGCACTGTGTGTTTTCAACTGTGTGGTTGCCAGTGGAGAGCTGTGGATCCTGGATCCAGGGGCTGTAGTTGTGGAGTTTCTAGCTCCTTTTTCCAGCAGCCATGGAGTCAGGAAGATTAGTTGTGATTTGGAGGAGCCTCAGATCCTCCTTACAAATGCCCCCTCCCATTTACTCTTCCCTTCCGGAAACGGTGTTTACCGGGTCCAGAGGCAGCAAAGGTTTGGGCTAGAGCAGAGTTTGCTCTTACCCAGTAAAACCCCTTCAGGGGCTTTTCTCCATCTGGTGTCTATGTGCGGTGCTGGGACCTTCTCAGAAAGTCTAAAACATCATCAGCTTACACCTTAAGTAGCCCTTCTTACCCAAGGGCTACTTCTAGCTCAAAATGGAAAAAAGGTTGAGTGTAAACTCATACCCTTAAAACAAGAAAGATTACCTAATATTTATTGCTAGTTGGAAATGAGTCATCTGTGTTGGTTGACCAAGCACACCCGACAGGGCAGAGGGCAGACTGGTATTCAAAGGCTGAAGATGTGAACTGTGGTCTCAGTCACTGTTACTGATGCTCACTCTGGGGGAGGGGAGACCATTCTTAACGGCTCATCCATCCCCACCTGCCTCAGTTTCCTTGTCTGAAGATTAGAGAGCTGAGCTCCTCTTGTGGGAAGTGTGAATTCCAGAGTATCGGGCCTCTGCAGGGCATAGCGTGATGAGCTAGAGCATCAAGTGGGGTGTGTGGGTGTTGAGGGGGTTTTGGCATTGAGTACAGCATCTTTGCTCCCCCAGGAAGAGTAGAGGGCACAAGAACTTCCTGTGCTTTCAGTGACTCATCACCAGCTACAGTGGGAAAATTCCCCCAAGCACAGGCAGGATTAATCTTTACCTTGTGTTTTTGTCTCCCTACTTTGTCTCCCTACTTTGTTTCCGGGGAGTTGGGCCAACTTGAATATTCATTTCAGCCAGATCTGCTACCTACTGGCTCTGTGACTTGAGCTAATCCCAGTCTCTTTGAGTCTCAGTTCTCCCACCTATAGATTCTACAATAATAACGGAACCATCTTCAATAGGGTTGTTGTGAGGTGTCAACATGAGATATTTGTAATGCAGCTGGCCTGGTGCCTGGTCCAATAAATGGAAACTGTCTCTATGAAGAGAAGAAGGAATTTTCCAGATTTTGCAGAAAGAAAAGTGAGGGGGGTACCTGCCTTCAGGTGGGCCTGAGATTAGCTGGAGAGTGCCAGGCTCCTGGCACACACTCTCTCTAGAAGAGGTCCCAGGTCTAGAGAAAGCTGATTACCCACTTGTTCAGTTACATTTCCAGCCCCTTCTCCAGGGACCTCTAGCTGGTGGGCTGATGAGCACAGCTCCTCTGACTGCCACTAAGCAAGAGAAGGGCTTCCCATTTCTGAGAATCCACTCTGGGGAAACACTGGGCTCAGCCTGCTAGGTATGATCCCAAACAACCTTCCCTCCACAAACTACATTTTCAGTGCATTTTGTGAGCAGTCTAACTGGTCCTCATAGGTCCCCATGTTGCTAAGACATTTCCCTGGCCAATCATCCATGTGATAACTGTATTTCTGGGCCTGAATGATTTACTCCATCAACCCTGTGGAATAGTCTTTAGGATCATCATGATCATCACCTCCTTTTAGCAGATGAAGAATCTGTGGTGCAGAGAGAGGCAAAGAGATTGGTTCTCCAAAGGTCTCACAGCTGGTACTAGACGTGGAGCTAAAACCCTGGACTTGTGAGTCCAAGTCTGGGACTTTTTCCAGAGCTGCCTGGTGTAGGCAGTAGTCAAAACATACCATGGAAGAGGCTGGGCCAAATCCGAGGAGCTTCTTCTCTTGCCCTAGAATCTTCAGAGAATGATGGAGACATAGGACCATGCTTCTACCTGTTCTTCAACCCCTATATTCCAGGCTACTGTCCTGGAAGAGGGAGCATGGTGGGGCTGGCACTTAATCCTGCCTCATGGAGAGGGAGGCTGAAGGCAGGATAGCTACGAAGGATTTGACTGCTGCTGGCAAAGCCCCAAGAACAGTGAAGAGAGGGCAGTCCAGGGTGGAGAAAAGCCACTAAAGGGATCCCGGAACTTCAATCTAATTGTGGTTCCTTGGCACCCTAGCCTGGTACAGCCAGTAAGTAAGTTGGTTGATTGGTAGACTGACTGGAGACTAATAGACGTATTAGGCAGTTTGGGGGGTCAGGTGAAGGTTTGCAAGAGAAGATCCAGAAGATTCTTAGATCAGGAAAGCAGGTGGGCAGAGCTGGAGCTCTGGAGTCAGATAGATCTGCATTCAAAGCCACTTTCTTGCTATGTAGTTGGGCTCGTTGACTTCAGTTCTCGGATGCTCGTTTCCTGATCAGTAAAGTAGGAGTAACAATAATACAGCCAGGGCTGTGGGGAGGAGTAAATGAGCTTTCTCTAGGCTAAACCCTTTGAGCATGAGAATGGGGATGAGGTGGGAGAAACAGAGAGGGAAGCGGGAGTCACCTCTGTGTCTCTGTGTCATGGAATGAACAAAATGAATTCATTCAAGAAAATCCTGTGGACATTGATGCTTTGTTGTTGTTGTTAGGTACTGTTGAGTCAATAGCGAATCATACCGACCTTATGCTATGAACAGAACTAAACACTGCCTGGTCCTGCACCAGTCTCACAATCGTTGCTATACTTGAGCCCATTGCTGCTGCCCCTGTGTGAATCCATCTAGTTGGGGGTCTTCCTCTTTTTCTCCAACCCTCCACTTTACCAAGTACAATGTCCTTCTCCAGGGACTGGTCCCTCATGACAGTATGTCCAAGGTATGAGAGACGAGGTCTGGCCATCCTGGCTTTTAAGGAGCATTCTGGCTGTACTTCTTCCAACATAAATTTGTTTGTTCTTTTGGCAGTCCATGGCACTTTTCATATTCTCCTCCAACACCGTAACTCAAATGCATCAAAAGCACCATCACTGCCTCATGGAGCTTAGGGTCTGGTGGGAGGCACAGATATTGATCAGCTTTGTTGTTAAGTGCCGTCGAGTCGGTTCCGACCCATAGCGACCCTGTAATAGGGTTTCCAAGGAGCAGTTGGTGAACTTGAACTGCCGACCTTGCAGTTCAAATGGCTTTGCAGTCTGGCACATTAACCCACAGTGCCACACCAGAACTCCATTGATCAGCTAGTCATCAATAAACTTAAATTTGTGGTTATGGACTATGAAAGAAAGCAGGTGGGGCTTTGGAAGCCCATGACGGTATCCCTTGGTGAAGGAGATTCAGGGAGACCACTGTGAATTGTTGAGAGCTAAGGTTGAGAAGGTCACAATTGGGTAAACAGCTGACGGAAAGGCTTGGACTGGAAGAAACATGCCATGGATGAGGGGTTGAATACAAACCACACAGGAATCTCAGAATCCCAGATTGCAACATATTCTCCAGTCTTCCTCCCCTGCATGCTGGCCCTCTCCCATCCCTGGATATAGCTGAAAAGCCCACTCCAGAGAGGGACCCCTGGGTGCTGTGCTCTTAGCAAATGGCCTTTGGTTGCTGAGACTGAGGCTTCTGTGAACTAGGAGCAGGATTTTTCGAGTCTCTGGTCCCCAAGGCAGAGCATCACTCGCTGCTCCTGCAGTGTGAGTCTGTCAGGCCAGCATGGCAACTCTGCTGGTCTCGTGGATGCCCTGGTCCTCAGAGCAGACACAGGGCAACCCCTGCTTCTGAGCAGAATCAGTGCCTTAAGCAAGGCTGGTGACTCAGAGAGTTCTTGTTGGCAGCCCTCGGGGGCATTGTGGGGTTTGAAGAGCTTAGCAAACCCTTCATCTCTGGCATGTGACCCCATCTTCCTCTACATGGCCCCAAACCTCCTGGTGTGCCCACTTCCAGAGTCTGAGCTAGAGAATGTGGTCAGAGTATTTCCACCTGGCCTCTTGTCTGTCCCCATAGCCATTCCTTTCCCTCTTTCTCTGATTTGGATTCCATCAGCTTTACAGCCTATGATATCTCTATTCATCCCCTATCCCTCTTTCCTGCCTCTTTCTAGCCCCAGCCTACTGCATGGGACTCTATGGTGGGTGTTTTTCTGCATCGGACTGGGTGTTTCTCTGCGTCTGACTGGGTGTTTCTCTACGTCTGACTGGGTGTTTCTCTGCTCTTTGATCTTAACCTCAGCTGTGTCTCTTCTGGTTTTTCTCCCTATATGCAATGCTGGCTCCCTAAGATCTTTAACAAGTTGCATCAACTCTCAGTGTCTCAGTTTTTAATCGCTGTAAAATATGCATAATAGTATCTACTTCATAGGTACCTTTGTCCTAAAGATCAAATAAGATAATGTTGGTAAAGCATCCTGCTTTCCCTTCCATCTGAGGCACACAGGACCAGAGGCTGGGGTGTGTGGGTGGGAATGCTGTGATG